ATTTAGACTTTAATCTATTAAAAACTTTTTAAAACTTTTTACGCTTCTTAACTTACAATTGTAAATATAACTAGATCAATTACCTTTCGATTGTAAACTCAGACGGATGTATCTGAGTATTTTAATAAAGACTATTATTATTATTATTATTATTATTAGTTGATCGGATATATCAAATGCATATGGTTGGCTAATGGTCCCTTAATGGTAGCGGTAGTGGACGTCAAATCTGAACCTCACTAAAAATGTTTTAAACCGCAGAGCGATGCCAACCGCTGGTTGTGCTTTTTGTTTATGTGTATGAGATGTGCAGTATGCAGGCAATGAGTTGAGATTCTTTTGGCATAATGAAACAATCATCCAATGCCAAGATTTCAAAACATTTGCGTAAAGCCGTCTCAGCAGAAAATCATAGTTTCTAGACCATTGGCGAATATTGACTGTGCTATAAACTATAAACTATAAACTATCTTGTATTTACAGAATGAGACTAATCCTAAATATTTAGTACCACGTACGAGTAATCACAGAGGAGTAATCACTATGTTCGACATCCCTAGTTTCAAGGCCTTCTTATTGCAAAGCAGGAATAAACAAACATTTATAATTTAAGCATCGATAATTTTGTTCAATGTTCAATTTTCAGGTGATTTTTAATATGGCAACTGATAGATTTTGTTTTCCTTAGTTTGTGTTATTTTAGAAAACATCAAGTTTTTCCTCAGCGGCCTTAGCGATCATTTATTATTTACCCCTGTGGTTAGAGAAACTGGTTGGGTAAAAATAAAAGGGAGGGTAAGAAAACTTTCACTGCCTTTTACACAATCGAGTAGAAACAACATTCTTGCCAATCATCAATTCTTTGAAGCGCAAGAAGTAAATGTATAACATTTTCCAAGTAACCACAGCTTTACGTTTGGGTCGTGGTCATCAGGATTATTAAGATATTGTAGTTGAAGTCCCCCTATACTGTTTTTGAAGCCCCGCTATACTTTGGTATAAATAATGAACCGTCCCTTATATTGTCGTAGGGGTGACCCGGGAGTACCAGGACCCACAGGTGATCAGGGGGACAAAGGAGACACTGGTGTACGTGGTCCTGATGGTGATGATGGTGACCGAGGGGATCAAGGTCTGCAAGGTGACAAGGGTAGCAAGGGAGAGAAAGGAACAGGGACAGGTAAGAAATTAGTTGTCATGTTTATATTTATTTGTCATAAATCATATATACAACCATACCTCAATTATTGTTTTGAAGTTTGGAATGTGTTAGGTCAAACCAGGGGCGTAGCTAGAAGGGAGCTGTGTGTGGGGGGGGGACTCGGCAAATTATTTTCGTAGTCAGCGATAATATTTGAGTGGCTCGGAATAAAAAGTAATAGTTATAGCAAAAATTTTGCTAGATTTACGAACATTACGGGAAAAGTTACCAAATTACGATACATTAATGGAAAGTTTGTGAAAAAATGTCCGGAAAAATTTTCGACCTCTCCCGCTCGCCAACAATTTTTGGAAAAAAGTATTAATTAGTGACTAAAATGCTGTCGGCAAATGCGATATTACACCTACTCCCGTTCTTTAGCCTCTTCGCTACGGCCCTGGGTGAAACCGAATGTAGACGTTTGCAAAACCTTCACAACAAAGCAAGATAGCAAGTATACCCAACGAAGTAAACCAAGAAATTGCATTAAACGCATTAGGTTATACGGGAACCATTGAAAAACAAAGAGGAAAGACTAAAACTGAAATCCTGTTTAAAATACTGAACAACGTTCAATTATTCATTAAATATATGAATTATTTTGTATTCGCATTTTAAGTCAGTTATAATGCATTGGGTAATGCGGTTGCACATTAACTATACTACTACCAGCATCGGCCCACTTGGATACACTCAAAAATTAGCGACGACAGAGTGAATGGATGACTGAACGTGACACGATGTGACGATGTTGTTATTGTGTGGTCTATTAAGGGGATTAGTGATTACCATTGGGAACTATTTAATCTCATCCTTGACCTCCGCATGGTTTACGAGAGATTACAATAATTACAGGTATTCCTGGACCAGAAGGGATGAAAGGGATTAAAGGTGGTCGAGGTCCTAATGGTCAAAATGGATCCCCTGGTGACCCTGGTCAACAAGGAGATGCTGGTGAGACTGGTGAGGCAGGTGCCTCTGGAAATGATGGACCGCCTGGAAACCCAGGTAAATACGAAATTCTATCAACGACGCGGTGTTTTCCAGTCATGTACACATTTTGAACATAATTCCGCCCACATATTCACTAGCATTTAATCAGTATTATTTTTATTTCAGGTGGCGAGGGACCTGGGGGAGAGAAAGGCTCATCTGGAAGCAGAGGAGATATAGGTCCTCCAGGACAAATGGGCGAAAAAGGACCACGTGGTTCTCCTGGATTGGGCGACTTCGGTTTCATGTTAACAGTTCACAGTCAAGAAAGCACTGTCCCCAAATGCCCTGGGGGAACGAACAAAATGTGGGACGGTTATAGTTTACTGTACATCCAAGGCAATGAACGTGCACACGGTCAAGATCTGGGTGAAGCTGGTTCTTGTATACGACGATTTAGTACCATGCCATTCTTGTTCTGTAATATAAACAACGTATGTAACCTTGCCTCGCGAAATGACTACAGTTATTGGTTAGCTACTACTGAACCGATCCCAATGATGCCAGTGAGTGAACAGGCGGTCCAGAAATATATCGGACGTTGTTCTGTATGTGAAGCTCCATCTCATGTCATTGCTGTCCATAGTCAGTCTATATTAGATCCTGATTGTCCTGACGGATGGGATGCTTTATATGGTGGATATAGTTTCCTTATGGTATGTACACAAAAGAAATCATTTTTAAATTACAGACCTTGTGAAGTTAGGGACACTGAAGCACCATTGTGGTGCGTTAGACCTTGGCTTGACGCTTGCCAATTTATGATATTGATGACCTGCATAATAGCCAAGATGACGGAAATTGAAGAGCTATTGGACGTCAGTTCTAGTTCCTTTCTATTGGTTTTGTCTGCGCGGTTAACACGAAGCTGGCATAACTTGTTTAGCGTTATGGACCGTTAGAAAAACAGGAATTAGCTGGGGAAATGATATTAAAACTGTTTACGACCTTCATAGTTATTGGATGTCAATTCCGCCATCTTGGCTTTACTTTTCTCATAGGCCGAATGACTGACGTTCTTGCTCCAGTATATGGAGAGCTCACTGATTAAATCATGCTTACCAGATCGGATGTAGCTATCATGTTCTACTTTGAAACTAATCCGAAATTTTCTTTTATCCAGCATATAAGTGCGGGCTCAGAAGGTGCTGGTCAGTTGCTATCATCCCCAGGCTCCTGTTTGAAAGATTTCCGCGCAAATCCATTCATCGAATGTCATGGGCGTGGCACGTGTCAGTTCTACGCCAATACATACTCGTATTGGATGACAACGGTCGAAAGTGCGAATCAATTCAAGACACAGGAATCGGAAACTCTTAAAGCCAACAATCTACGAAGCCGAATTAGCAAGTGCACAGTCTGTATGAAATCAACACCACCAACACCCGCGAATGTTGGAAATCTTTAAAGACAAAAAGTTAGACGCAAATACTTAATCTAAATATGAACAATATTAATATGTTCTTATCGTTAAGTAAATGATTATGTTTTATTTTTCCGTTTCTTTTTTTGTACAAATTGTGCAAAATATGTTATCGTAGGAGTTTAATACTTTGCAGAATTAAAAAGCATATGTATTCCTGCTGCTGTAATCCGGCGTGCGTTACTCCTTAACGAATAGCCTGTCTGAAGAATAAATAATGCTTGCAAGTAGCAAGTTTACGAGCAAATTGCTACGATTCATTACACGTGCTTTTGTGATAAATATTAAAGCGACCGTCTGATCTTTTAGCGCGCCATATTGAGATTTTTAAGATTATAAATGTAGAATTCATTGTTACAATTATATATCATAATATGAAGTTAGTTTAGGTCTAGTTTTCAATAAGTGTATTATTCGTTTGTTAAAATTATTTGATAATGTTAGTGATTGCAAGATAATTTACAATGTGATTTCATAAGTATATTTCAATATATACATATATTTCAGATATATACCAAATAAAATGTAAGTTTATGATGAGGAATATGTGTAATAATAATAGAGAATAATTTTGATAATAAATATAAAACAATAGTACGTTTCCTATGGCTATGCAATTATATACGAAAACGCTTTTCACACAGGCACGGGCAAGTAGGAGTTATAAAATTCTATTTTTGTGAATGCTCCCGAGTTCTAGACGTTTATAGTGTATGCTTGTGCCGCCGCTCAGAACACAGAGACCAAGGCTCTATTTGCCCGCGCCCGCCTGTAAGTCACAGACGAGCGCAGGGCCGCAGGCAAATAGAGCTTGGGTCTCTGTGTTCAGAATGGTTGATTCCCTCTGTCAAAACAATCTCGTACCCAGAGCACAGAATAAAGATCAGTACCAGAAGGGCCACTCAGCGGTGCAACGTGTCGCCATTTTTCTATGCAAAAATATGCAGTTGACTGGCCAGAAGGCGGGGGCTTCAGCCAATACAGCGCGTTTATTGGCCAGAAAATGTAATCGGCTGGCTAGGAAGATGGCGGCCAGGGTGCCCTTCTGTGTGCCTTATTCTGTGCCCAGAGCAATGCCTGTGCGCGGGCGAGGAAGGCATTGGCTCAGCCAATGCCTCCTTCGCCCGTGCACAGGCATTGCTCTGGGTACGAGAGTTGGCAGTCACGCGACCTCGGGTTGGCTGTTTGCTTTCCCAACACTATCGTATGAATTATTTAATTAAAGTGTTCATCAGTAATTGTTCTAGAAGTGAGAATTTGCTGAAACTTCCCAGGGGTGAATTTATGATATGCTCATAGTAAAAGCAGGAAAATATTTGGGGTCACCGAACTCGTTTCAAAGATATGGTAAAAGTGCGCAATGCAAAACCTTAAGTTATAACATAGTTCGTATACTCGTATTCAACTTTTATTTTGTTAATCTGGATCCCGAAATGTTTCCTGAACTAATAATGCGTGACTGCCAGCTCTCATCCTCGTTTGACTGGGGCTTACCTTCGACCTTCAGTAGCAGGTTTAAATCAGCAGTGTTTCTGGGAACTGCCAGTACCAGACATAGTATACTACAGTGCCGTGCCCTGTATTAAAGATTATTAAAAAAAGGTCACCAAGTGCAGATTATTAAAAAAAGATCACCAAGTTTGGGTTAGAATTAGGGTTATTGTAATTGATCATGTAAACCGATTACAATGCAATAAGTTATTGCATACAATAGGCAATTCCAGCTTTTAGTTTATGCGTGCAGGGGACGATGGGAAGTAAGGTATCACATTGGTGATTATGCTGAAAAAAATAAAATGGTGGCCGTGTAAAAACGGAGTGATAGCTTATACTTGTAAATTTGAAATATTTCGGTTGTTTTTATTGAAATTGTTCAGCATAATCAGCAATATGATACCTTACTTCCCATCATCCCCTGCAGGCATGAACTAAAAGCTGGAATTGCCTATTGCTTTACAATCACAATCAATTATCATAAGTAAACTCTATAACAAAACATACTTGCAGAGAGGTGAGTCCGGGATTGGACGCACCTCGGGTGGCTGGACCGAGCAAAGCGAGGTGAGTTCGGGAAACTTCCAGCCACCCGAGGTGCGTCCAATCCCGGACTCACCGAACCTCATAATTTCTTGTTTGAATAACGAACATTTTAGCCGCCAACATACTACGCAAACAAACAAACTTAGGCTTAAATTTAAGCTAAAAAATGCTCTACAATTTTCCCTTAATATTCTTGAAAAGTGAAAATGCACACATTCTGCGAAAACATAGCCAAGATTCTCTCTCCTCCGCAGAGGCTTTAAGATACATTTCACTACACTTTACATGGCGGATCTTGGAACACGAGCGTAGCCGCTGGGCGAAGGAGCGCAGGCCAAGATTTATATAAACCTGCCCGTGCCGAACAAATTTCGGCGGCCATCTTTTTTCTTTTCCGCTTTGAATACAGAAAGTAACAGAATATTCCATTTTCATCAAACAAAATAAAAAAATAATAATTATAAAACAATTAAAAACAGTTAATTTATTTTTTATTTAAATCTTCGTCTGAAATTTGTTCAAAAAGCTTCATAATGGCCGCCGCCGAAACATCGATCTCGAACCTCCCTCTTAAACATACGTCAGCAGGTGGGTTCGAGATTGAACGCACCTCCTCGTAGCCAATAGGAAAGCCGCTAATACGGTAGGTATGAGATAAAGCGTGAACCACTTCACTTTCATAATAACGTCTTTCCCAGAGGTGTACCAATCCAGACGAAAGATAATTTTAGCCGCACGAAAATGCGTTCCGACTCATCAAACGTTTTTCAACATTATCCCGATACCAAGATTCCACAAGTTACAGATGGTAAAACAACTTTGGAAAAAAGTCCAGTTTTGCATTGAGTGGTAAGAAGTATGATTTGAGCTGGTTAAGTTTTTTGCTGAATGATATAATTAAAGATGAGACATGGATATTCCATTTTAAATGTATTTCCATTGTAAAATGCGGATAATATAGCCTTGCGAAGTTTGCCGTTTTTCAGTCATTTTGTATTACAAACGGGAAATTGACAGACCCAAAGGGTATTGGTATGTCAATTTCCCATGCGTAATGCAAAATGACTGAAAAACGGCAAACTTCGCAAGGCTATATTACCGCATTTTACAACATTTCGCAACGAAACTTTGGAATATTACTAATTTTGTGATGCTCTTTCAAGCTGTGATGAAATTTTTGTCTAGACTTGTTGAGATCAAAATTTTGTCTATTACGCAAGTGGTCAATTGAAGGTTTATACTATTCTTAAAAATACCAGTAAAGAACAGTCAGAAAGACACAACTTGTCATATTAAACTTTTACAAAGAATTTAATAAACAAACTACAATACATGTAAATTCTCATCACCACCACACATCAGTTTGAATCGATCTTTTGTTTTCCTGGAAAACCCTTTCTTCTTGTGTACTTGACTGAGAGCGTACTGCGCAAGCGCGGCTCTTTCTTCTTGTAGTGTTCGTTGAAATCCAGACGGAAACTTAAAAATCTCAAGTTGACATCTGAATGACTTGTTAACTTCAACAGAAATTGTTCGACAAGATTCTGAAATAAATAGAACAATGCTCAAATGGTGGGGATCTCTGTAAGTCGTTGGGATAAAATAACCAGAAAAAAACAGCAAATATACAGCATTGATGTATTTTGAAAACAAATGCGATTTAAGTTCATGCAATATCGCATGCAAGAATGCTTTCAGTCAATCAACCGAAAACTGCAGGTCTTCTCAAAACGAACAGTTTAGAAATTTAGTTTAGTTTTAATTTAGATACCAATGATTTCAAAAATACTTGAAATGCTCTGGTTTGAAAAGCGAACCTACAAGCCGTTAAATTCTTATAAGTTATAAGTTCTTTGTAGGTTTGCATGGCGATAAAACATATAATCATTTTGTTTTGTTTATTACTGCAAAGCTTTCGATCCGTTAAAGATGCGGTACAGTCCGTATGTAAACAAAGGCTTTGTTTACATTTCGGTATCCAAAATATTGAATTTTATTCGACAATTATTTATATTTTCATGATTTTAGAGTATAATAAATTATCAAGACACAACAATCAAGCTTTGCAAGAACATAAAATGAAATAAAAACCTAAATAAACTGTTTGTATAATAAAAAGAGGGCTCCTTTGTGCACATGCGCAGATCGGACTGTACAGCATCTTTAAGCCCGGATCTTCATCAGTGCTAATAATAATGACATATTATTAGCACTGATAAAGATCCGGGCTTACGGATCGAAAGCTTTGCAGTAATAAATTTACGTGGTGTTTCCACAAACAAAAAGGATTATAAAGTATAAGTTGTATATATTCGTGTTTGTTTCACCAAATGTGGGACCGGTGTATATAAGTACATCAGTCTACTGCTGTCGTAGCTACTTGATCCTACGTCTGACGAAGATCTTTTTCAGGTAGTTCAAACAGTAAATACGGCAATTTAGTATTTTTGCACAAGTGAAAATAACAAATCCTACAAATTGATTGGTCAAATTTGACGTATTACTGCTGTTATATTCACCTATACAACAAAACCGAAATTTTCAAAATGGCGGCTAGCCGTTGTGTGGGCATTATACTGATAAAGAAATAAGCGAAATTAAAATAAATTCAGTCCCAAAAAAACACAAAAATACTAAAACAATTATTCGCCTTAGGCTCGGTGATTATCGGGGAATATTCACCTCGACTTCGTCTCGTCGAATATTCTCCGATAATCACCTCGCCTTCGGCGAATAATTGTTAAATATTCACCTACAAATACAGGTGAATATAACAAAATCGAAATTTGCAAAATGGCGGCTAGCCGTTTTGTGGCAGTTACTTATAAAGAAATAAGTAAAATTAAAAAAAATTCAGTCCCAAAAACACAAAATATCCCCGATAATCACCTCGCCTTTGGCGAATAATTGTTAAATATTGTTTCACCAAATGTTTCTGCACTCACCTCATAAGATTGAGAAACGATTTGCAGTTGTGCTCGTTGAACAGGTAAAAATTCTGTTCTGAAATCCTCTTGTCTCCATTCTTCTCTCTCTTCCTCGGCCGCAGTCAACCCCCAGCGTCCCTAAAGCAACATCATGTCATTAATTAATAACTTCGTTAGACATTTGATTTAAAAAAAAATAGAAACTGTGAAAAATAGGTAAGGTAAAGAAAAGTCTAAATCAAATGCCTTCAATCAAATATTGTTTGGCAGGACCCTATTTTGAAATACATATTATATTTGTAATGTAGCTTAACCCAAATAATGGATCAGATTTCAGGTTAAGATGTAGATAATCCGTAGGCGATGTTAGCAGGATGAGCCCAGGTTGTAGAGGTGGGCTTGATCATAGGACTCTAAGCATCTCAGGAAGTAAGGTTGACAACATCTCTTAGGCTCAAAATTTAATATGCAAATTGGATAGGGACATTGCAGGGCATACCTTCCTTCATGGGCTGGCAGGGTGCCCACCCACCACAAGCAAAGTTAATCAAACCTGAATGTAAACATTTTCGAGATGTATTAATAAGTTTAGGCCACGAGTCCCCACCAACCTCTTCAGTATTTTCTTTAATCTCATCAGTTTTCTTCTTTCTCAACTCCAACTCAAACAAAGCTCGGGAAAATAAAGTGTCCTGGGTGGCTTGAAACTTGATAATTTGATCAAATATTGCTCGCAATTGATCTAACATGTCCTGAAAGAAAATAATATGATTGTTACAAATCTGTAAGCTTGGAGATCGTGATATTGATATTTGTCAGTCTTAAAAAGAGTAACAACAGCACCATAGAGCGAGAGTTAACACTCTGAAGAAAAGGCCTTCGCTCGTTTGGAGCTGTCCTCAACTTGCTCTCGAACAATAATTTGAACAATTCTTCTTTGTTTAAAGAAGCAAATCTACCACAAGTTATTATGTTTTGGCGTCTAGATTTTCGCACGCTTTTTGCACAAGCTGGCAGTCTCGCTGGGAGCTTGGGCTCTAGAGCGTGTAACTCTTTTTGGACCCAAGTTCGATAAAAAAGTGTTATTGTACACAGATCACAGCAGCAGCGAAATTAGAGAGGTTCACATTCTGACTTCCACTACCGTCACCCAGAGACCGTCACCATTAACGAATCAGATTCATTTAATCTACCCGATTAACCAATCAAATACGTATTAAGCATGTGAGAGGTAGCGATAGTGGCAGTGAGAGCTACGGGAAATTGAGAATGATCTGGGGATTTTCAAAAAGGAACGAGAGTAAAGTTTGAATATGTACATATAATAATAAAAATGTGTGCACACTACACTGCATGTTTATAGACTTTATATTCTATACAGAACGTTTTCTTGCTTCATGATAACTGTCGGCCTTTTAAAATTTAACCGGACATAGTACTACATACTACAGTGTGGTGCTTAAACAAATGCACCAAAAGGGCGAAGACATACAGACCTCAGGGGTGTATATAATTACCATTTGTGCCCCCTCCCCCTCTGGGGGGGGGGGAATGTCAGGGCCATGGGGAAGAAAATGACCCTAAAGAGGAAGGGGAAGAAAGGAGGGAAAGGAAAAGGAAGGAGGGAAAGGAGGGAAAGGAGGGAAGAAGGAGGGAAGGGAAAGAAGGAGGGAAAGGAGGTGCGCTTCAACTGCGACGTGCGCACAGAGTTTGTATAGGTCAGCGGCAATGGTGACGTCCATCGAACTAACTTTACGTGTGACGCAAAATTCTTCCAATGGCTATTAATTCATGCTTTTAATATACTGCTTTCTGGTATTTTAATAAAATACAAAATACTAACTTAGTAGCATTAAATGCTACTAAGTAGGCCCCTTGAATGAATAATTCAATGTTGTTCATAATAATAATAATATTAAATGAAATAATTTTATTAACACATGTAGTTATGTAAAATATATGAATTTTTACTTACTTCAAACAACCTTACTTCAAAACCAGAGTGTTACCTACTCAATCATTAATTATTTTCTTAGGAGTCCGAATCACTCCAGGATTGGGGAAGAAAGTAACCCTTCCAAAATTTTGGGGGGGGGGAAGTAACCCCTCTGGTAATTATATACATCCCTGCATACAGTACCATTTTTTAATAAATACCCAGGCTTATGATTCCGTACAAACTAGCAAACTAACAAACTAACGCACGGAATATAACGCGATGTCTAACTTCGTTTGGACACAGCAATTTCAAAAGGTGTTTACCTTGGACTGGTTATCAATAAGACAACTTGATAAAATATAGTGAAGAAAATCCTCGTGTGCTGCGATAATATCATCTAGATTTGTTGATTCATGGACTTTCTTAAGAAGTTCTGCCCAACAACATTCTAGAATCTAGAAGAAAACATGAAAAGCCAGATATCAGCAGTGCTGGCATTGAGTATATAGAAGTATTATGAACCTTGCTATTGGTCGCTACTGATCTTGTTGTGGAACACCGTGAAAGACGGTTTCAAGCATAAACCTTTAAAATTAACAAAAAATAGAAAAGGACATTTATCGCCAGTACTCTTCAGACATGTAGACAGTACGTTTCCACATGTATGAATATATTACTCGTGTGAATTTTCCCTGTACATCCCAATACTATATACACATCATATTTGTAAATCCTTTAACTGCAATGCAAAACTTCGTACGTCGCAGAAACTTAACTAGCATACATGTAGCCCCATAACATCGTCACAACGATGCCATGGAACTGCACGCAGGCTAGAACTTACCTCAAATGTGATGTAATACTGCATTTGATTAATGAAATGTATCATCTCTGCGTTAAGTGTGTTACACGTGTGAAGGACGTCTGCAAGTTCTGAAAAAAAAATGCAAGGCCGGATTTTGGCGTAAATGCTGGGGGAGGAGGAAGAACATTTACGGGAGGTGCAGCGGTCTGGATACCAACCTCCCTGGGATTTTAGGCTTACTGCAAGGGGGGGGAGTGACGGGGCAATTTGCCCAGGATAAATGAGGAAGCCAAAGTTGTATTCTCCCCCTGGTTTCTAAAAGTCTCTAGACAGCTCTGGCCTCTGGTGTACGTATATGTACCAATTTATTTATATGAATTATGATTGTATGACTTATCTAATTTTCCCCATCGTTACAATACTAGAAAGTTTCTTTCGAACGTTGCATTAATAAGGTAATTGACACAGAGGTGAATAAATAATAATCACTGTTACAACTTTATAGAAGAACTTTATTGTAGAAATATTAAGTTTGAAACAAAAACTTTGATCAATCAGTTTATTTTTTTCAAGGGGAGGTGCATTTATTTTCAGGGGAGAGCAAAAAATCTTAACAAGGGAATTTCGATATGGAATTGTCTTGATGAAGAAATTAAAAATCAAAAATCGTATTTTTCCTTTAAGAAAAAAGTAAAATTAAATTAGCCTACTTGTTAATATAAATATTTTGAAACAAATGATAGGGATATTACATTTATTAAACGACGTTTAATGTAATATCGAATGTAATATATATATATATCGCTATCATTTGTTTCAAAATTATTTTCAAAAAAGTTTTGGATTAAATATAAATATTGTTAGCTAAAACATATATGATATATATTGAACCAATTTAGATTCATGTATTTAGTTTTAATCAAAACAATATAGGGGCCTTATATCAAAAGTCCAAGAGGATTTCAAAAGGTCCCTAGCTCCTTTATATTATTGTATTTTAACTATATTTCCATTGTAAATATTTTTTGTGAGCAAATGTATTCTATTCTATCTTATGGTGGTGCAAAACGATCTCGGGGGAGTTGTGTACGCACGTCTCCTCAAAATCCAGTTATGGAAAATAGTTCAGTTATCTGCTTTTAACTGCAACCTTATTTTTTCATAAACATGTAGAGGATGAAAACAATTCCTACGAAACATACGAAAATCTCCTGCTATGATATTTTGTTAAAAACTACATATATCAGGAAACCAATCGTGTATGAAATCGTGCCTTACCTGGCAATGATCTACATAATCTCGAATAAGACATTTGTGCTTTCCAAGTAGAAGTCAAGATGTACTCCATTCTCTTTGCTCGCCAGAGAAAATTAAAAATCCTCAAGTACATTTGGGTACATTCTGGTGTAAACACCTGCGAAATAATTATTTCAAGAAACAAACATCACACAGTATGAACAACAAATATTTCATTTTACACCATGCTCTACAAGATTTTTAAAATCTTCCCAAATAGCTGCATATGTGATACATGCTCCTATATAGGACAAAATAATAAACAGGATCATTCTCTTACAGTGCCAATAGGTCCATCCACTTTATAACATAAACTGAAAACATCCCAGCCAGAATCTCCAACGGATACCTAAAGAATGTACTATAGTGTATAGATGTACGAGTGGAAATACTTGTGTATTTTAATACACAAAAAATAATAATTCTTTATTGTACCATATAAGTCTACGTCTATAGACCGACTCGAAAAATGGTTGTAATTCATAGTTAATCTCCTGAAATTAGTTTCTATCACTGCCGCCTTATAGGAAACGTCAAGATTATTAGTTTTACAAAATATAAATATAATACTATGTATTGTCTTTGAGAAATTAAATCTCAAAAAAAAATTTGTGCCAGATTGAGCAAAGAAGACTGACTTGCCTCGTTTTGGCGCTTTTTGCACATTTCACGTACAGGGCTATAATTTCGCTTTGAATAGCAACAGTCTCTGCTAAAAAATTGTTTATTAGCCTGGTAATGCAAAAAATATACAATAATGCAAAATTGTAGCGGCCAGTATTCGAATCAGTCAGTTCAAAGGCTATATATTGATTATATGCACTTCACGCACATTGAAAGAATTAGAATGATGCATGGAATGATATTGCATGAAATCATAATCCTGGTCCAAAATTTTACCTCCACCATGAGGTTATGTTTTCAACTCCGTATGTTCTTTGTTTGTTTGTCTATCAGTGCAGCGTAATTAAAAAGCAGTGTAAAAATATGAAATCCGTGCACCCGATGACCAGAACAGACTAAATTTTTGGTTAAACTTGTAACGATGAGAATGTTTCAAAATATCATTCAAATACCTCTAATAATCTACAATCCAGTCTCTTTATAATATCAGGATCTTCAAACTGCGCATTTGTAGCTCTAATTGCCGCCTCTAGAACACCCGAGAGATTGTGTGTGTACAATGTACTTGCTGGCTTTGCAAGATCTGGCCTGCAATAAAAACACAATGATCAGTTACATCCTGAAAAAAATATTGGAAGATACAATAAAATAGCACAAAATAAAATAAATAATGAAAAGTCCAGGAAACGTTCTTGGCTTGCTTAAACAAAAGTGGTCAGTTTTGTGACTCGTTATTTAGAAAAATATATTTAATTTATTTTTATTCTGCATGTTTTATTGTTGTAACCAACCAATCACGAAACCTGTTCATATGGGGTAGTGGCGACCCAAGTCTGGATAATTCTTGATGCTGTTAGCTGAATCCTAGAATTATTTTCCTATACATTCAAAATACTGAGCTGTGAGATTCAATATTAATCATGATCAATTTATACTTACTCTAGTAAATCCATCAAATGACGAATAAAATCTCCTTGGCCTAGAAGAAGATATCTTCTCATTCCCTATACGAAAATGATAGAAAAATAAATACACGAAATACAACAAACAGGCTACAGCAAGGAGGGGATTAAATCGTTATTGCATGTACTATTAGGAAGCGTCCAATGGACGGCCATTCTTGAAAAATAACAATTTAAACAGCCATGGACGGTCTAAGCAAATATTTTCTTCAAATAGCAACTTACAAACATATACCGGGTGGCGCAAAAAAAAGTACAACTGTTTGATTACTTGTAACTCAGAAACAATGAGCAGTAGAACCATAAATCGAGTTTAATTGCATCCAGCGATATCTAACTTAAATTTTGGTATATTTGACAGGCATATTCGTCCAAGATTAACTGAGATATAAGAGTTTAAACTTTTGTTAACAATTTTGAAACGGTCACAAATTAGCTAAAAATCAGTTTAATAGGCCGTTTTTAGCTAATTTGTGACCGTTTCAAATTTGCTAACAAAAGTTTAAACACTCATATCTCAGTCGATCTTGGACGAAAATGCCTGTCGAATATACCAAAATTTAAGTTAGACATCGCTGGATGCAATGAAACTCGATTTTGGGTTCTACTGCTTATGGTCTTTGAGCTATATGTAATCAAACAGTTATACTTTTTTTTGCGCCACCCGGTATTTCTCGAGTATTTTAAAAGTTGTTAACTGCCATTTGCTTTAGCCATTGCACGCATTTCAATGTCTATTTTTCAAAACATGCTGAATTATGAGTAAATATTGAACTGTCTTTGCCAGTGTAGGCAGTGCCAATAATATGAACAAGCTTTCCTTGGTTGGGATGCAACTACCTGAAAAATATTTTTCAGACAGTTGCATCCCTACCAACGAAAGCTTGTTGAATTATGAGTATCTGAGAATTGATTTCAAGCGCCGTTCTTTTTTTCCGCCACCACAAATATTGGTGCCTACACCCACGACATTTTTGGACTGCCAGTTTTGGGGTCCTGGCAGAATGCCGTTAGGGAAAGACACATGCACAGTGGCGGACACAAGGAAGGTGAGGGAGGTCAACCCCGCCGCCAATAATCAGTTTCTGAAACCCTTTGCAACAATAATTTTACAACAATGAAAACATTGGTAGGCTATAATTAAACAAACTGCATGAAATTTAAAGCAAAAAGGTTTAAAGAACTGAGACTTCTAGCAACAAAAGAGTGATAATTCTGTATATGGTGGCAACCTAATCCCCACCCCCTCAATATTTGGCGAAGTGCGCGCCACTGCACATGCAGTGACTACTTAATTTAAGTGTAAGATGTAGCTCACCTTTAGATGATCGACAAATTTATATTTACTAACAAGAATTTCTAACAGATATTTGCTGGTTTCTTTGTACGCAATGTCAATTGCTTCTTGAAGCGCAGTGCCACCAAAATCTTCCTTATCTGTTAATTTTGTTGAACCTAAGTGAACAGCAATGAAAGGATGAACTTCAAAAAATGAAACGATGAACTTGGGCACACACTGGCCCCATCATCTCGTGGATCCAGTATACAGTAAAAACCCGCATAAAAGAACCACTAGGTTCTTATATAATGGGTACTTAGTGAGAAATCAGACCGAGTAGTTCTTAATCTGTTGTTATTTCTAGTCAAAAACAACTATCGAATGATCGATTCAATCGAATGATCGATTATTTTTTGTGTTTCTGCTGGCAATCGATCATTTTCGACAATTTCTTAGTCCACATGCAGCTCCGATCCATTTTATTAGAAAAATTTCCACGACTGTTGCCAACCATAAAATAACATAGTAAACGTAAAACCAATCAACTGATTTCGTATATTAAAAATTTTGCTTAACTAGGCCAAATGTGCATTTCTCAGCAGGCATGTTGTTTATTTTCAACACTGATGTATCGAAAAAGCCTCTTGCATCCGAAATCTGCCATGTCCTCCATCAGGAGTGTTCGCTGCTGAAGAAACTAAAGCCAGCAAGAGTATAAAAATTCTAGTCGGGAAATGGATTTGCCCAAAGCTTAGATTGAACTCGCAGTATTAATTTTAAAGAATAAACTTGCACAACATGTCATGTCTCCCTTAATAACCCTTCCTGCAATTGTTTTCTTTTTTTGTTGATGGTTCTAGGTATGACATGCAGGTTGTGCAGTTAACTGTGTAAAGGGCACCTTAAAGCTCTTATATGAAAATAGTTGTTATGAATAATTTATAGTACTTTAACAGTTGCAAATAAATATCAAGCAAGGCTTTGCATTACTTGGGAGTTTTAATCAAATCTCGAAGACCAAGAGGTTAGCAAGGGGTACAAAATTCTTGTTATTTATATTGATGCTCTTACGCATGCCCACCTTTATTTGCTTCGATTAACAATTTGCGTTCCTTCAACGTAAAACGGTCGTGACAGACTTGGTGAATAAAGTTTATCGATTTCCCAATATTCAATATCTACAGAATAAAACCGTACATCAAATAGATTTCTATATAAACTTTACAAGAAGCACAAGTATTCTGTACGAAAGTAACATCGCTTTTCAGACGTGTTATTTCTCCAAGTAGCTAATTCTGGTAATTAATGAAAGGTATGCAACGTACTTTGGTTCCTAATTCAAGAGAGATGAAAGAAGGTAGCATGGCTTTTCTAATGCTGTACTTTTCAAACCAAAGTCTTTCGTCTGGAACACTGTAATCAGCAGCAACGAAAAACTACGAGAGGAAGAAAACACTGTAAGGTATATGGTAAAATGTAGAAGGACTTTGTAGATGGAAATTCGAGTGTGAATTTTATACATTTATTAGACCTAACCAGAATCGAGCAGTTGTGAAAAACAGTTTTTGTCGTGAAATACATGTTGTTGATTTTTCTTTCGTCGCTATATAACAAACCACTTAATGTCTGCTCCCTCGGGAAATAGTTTTGTTTCCCCTCGAATCTCAAGGTGTCCCTCGACTTCGTCTTGGGAAACAAGAGAGTCTCGGGACAAGTGTACATCATTTTTTTATTTCTTACAGTTTAATAGGTCACACACTGCTGAAAACCCACATTTTGATTCTTTGGACACACAGAAACTTAATTTCACAGTCATTTTTTAGTCATTTTTCCACCGATTGGTCAAGCTTAAATTGCCTCTTTTCTCATTTTAGCCACCATAAATTGTTATATTCGATACATTTTTGCTTCTGACGTTCATTTAATTGCCGCGATACCACATCATAGTTTGCCTTCTCAAAAAACATCAAGATTTTTATTTTCGGGGTGGCACCCCAACCCCGTCATCGGGGGGGGGGGGGGCATCCGTCGTCATAACATACAAGATGCATTTCAGAGGACTATAGCCGTCTTGGGCATCGAAATGATTTACTGTCAAATGAAACCTGTCAAAATGAAACCTGTAAAAAAAGAAACTTAATAAAAGAATCTCTGTATATATCACAAACATATTTACAGTGTCATTCCATGATTCGCGTGTCTCAAATTCAATGAATCTGAGATAACCTTTCAAATTGGTTGTTTTAACCAATCCCTTTTTATTGTGAAGACTTTCTTGAACGAAGCGAATTTGCATTACAAATTGTGGAATTGGTTAATCCTCATTACCTTTGAATTTTGAAATCAGGCCAAAGTGCCGGAAGGCCAACAAACTGACGTATAATACATATACCTCATTAAAAGCATCGTCCAGTTCTCCTTCATAAATCCATCTCGATAAGATAATTTTGACAGGTTCTGCGACTTGGTTCAAGATATGTTTAACAAGAGCTTTAACGTACGGATCACCGTGCTGCATGTAGGAATGAATTGCGGAGAGAAGTGAACCTCCTTTCTTACCTAAAGAGAAACAATGTGTCAACAGAGATTGGTGGCGAGTGTTACCATTTTAAGTGCACGGAATATTTTCGTGACTTTACGCTTCGACAACGTTGGACTTCCTGCCAATTCCCGTTGACGCGATAGTTCAATGGGTAGAGCGGCGGTCTAGAAATCGGAAGATGCGAATTCGTGGAAATATTGCACATGGCTCAGGCTGCGCACTTTTAAGTGGCATCACGTATTCTGACTGCGCATTTTTGTCCCCTTCCTTGATAATGCCCTCAAGAAGAAAGCGTTGCAACCCAGAAGACCATAACAATCCAATTGATAGAAAATCCTTTACCAGCAAACAATTTTAAGAAATCTAAGAAAAAATATACTGCGAATAATAATGCCATCTTGTAAACTCATGATACGAGTTATTTAAAGAAAACAAGATCAAAACTATGGTGGTGATATTTTGACTCTATTTCATGGTTTGGTTTGACAATGACCCTGAAATAGAGTCGCAATATCACCACCATAATTTGTGAGTTCTTTAAATAATTCATATCTTAGTTTACAAGATGGCATTATTATTCGAGAGTACGTTTTTTTCTTATATGTTTGATATAATGCCTTCTAGAACAACTTATGGTGGAAATACCAATATTCCAACTAGGTCAAAAGTATTTCACAACTTTAAGAATGGGATTCTTAACAAGTATCTAAACTGAAGGTTTGACATCCCTTACATAAATATTTCCGGTAAAATTAGTAGAAATCAGGCTCAAGCCCAGGATAAGAAATAAATTTGCGAGAGAAAGGTAGATGAGTCCTACGAATAATTGTGAAACGCACGTCAAGAGTATTGAATATATATTTTATGAATATTTGATTTACGGCTATATGCAGGGGTGGATCCAGCAAGGTTTTTCTAAGGGGGTGCTGGGTGAGCAGCTGAGTGTTTCTTTATTCTTTAGGGGGTGGTGGGAGAGCATTCAAATGAATTGGCTTCCTAACGACTCGAGCGCCGAAGGTGCAAGCTTCCTAGGGGACCAGGGAAATTTTGAAAATTAGAACCCTAGAAATGCCATTTTCTGCCATATGGGCATTAACCAAGGCCAACAGGGGTGCGCACCCCTGTGCACCCCCCTATAAATCCACCCCTGGCTATATGTCCTGGTCAAATTGTATGGTTTTAGGAGTGTATGATATCTTTCCTAATCAATGTTATATTTCTACGTTACCTTTACAAATTTCCACTAAAGCAGCCAAAGTCTTGAGTCTTAACAAAGGAGTATATGTCCACACTAAAAGTCTTCTCAATGTCAGTGAATTACTACATGTTTCACCACCGAGTCCTGCGTCTGTCAAATGTTGTTGTTGAGCTTCAAATACTGCTATCAAACGGTAATACTCTGTAAGTTCCTGTTGTAATGCAGCACAGAAACTCTGACCAACTAGACCTAACGCTTTGTCACCAGTCCTTGCGTCGAGATAACGACGGATCTTGGTAAACAACCAACCTAACTCAGATAATTTATTCACCAGAGCTCGAGTAGTATATGGCACACCTACACTACGTTCGATTCTGTAACCGTCATCTATTTGATCATATTTTATCAGCTTGCCATCAATTCCTTGAAATACGTAAATCAAGTCTCGAATCAGTAGCGCATCGGATGCTTCAAACGACACTGTTGAATAAGAATAGTTCAATCAGTAAAGCTTGGTTTCAACCTGGATTTCTTAATTCATTTGGTCGACATATTCAATGATAGTCTGGATCGTTTATTTTTATGTTCACGACCGTTGCGACCAAATGGAAACGAAGCTGAAGACGCAGAACGAAATGTGCTTACATGAACAGACCTGGAAACATGTTTAATGACCCTCGGATCTCCAAAAGTACTTAAAAACACTTGTGTGCAACAATTTGACGGTACATTACAGTATTTTGTGTGTAACAATTTATCAAGTTTAGTAAAAAACAAATTCCGAAAAGACAAGACACCTTGAGAATACAATATATGATTCAAAACAAGACGCAGGTTGAGACTGAAAATTTTCGACTTTATTTCAAACTTTGACTTTGAAATAAAGTTGAAAATTTACAGTGTCAACCTGCGTCTTGTTTTGAATCATATATTGTATTCTCAAGGTGTCTTGTCTTTTCCGAATTTGTTTTTTACTTTACTATTTTAAATTGTCGGCTGGGAATGGGTTGTTTCTTTTTTTTGGGGGGGGGGGGGTTATCAAGTCCACTTTCTTTATTTTGCATGTATACTATACTACAAACATGGATGCTCTCACTGACTCTGGTCATTTCCGTAAAGTACAGAAAGTGTGAAAGAATTGAAAATGTTTCTCAGTCTTGTTCTTCCCAAGTTTTCCAGGTCTGTTCGCAATAATATTATTATCCGTGGGATTTATCTATGGAGGATCACACTCTGCCATTTTCAATGAAGGTCAACAGAGAAGAGAAGCGCTAGAAGGCACATCTACAGTATATATATTTCGCTAAAGGTTAGTGAGTCGGCACGTAATCCAGTGTGTTAAGGCAGGAGTGTTTCTCGTTGTAAAACGATGATAGGTCCCTGCGGAGCAGAGGGTTAGATGTATGGTAGTATAAAGAAACCAGTTCCATCCCGTTTTATTGCATTATAAAACTAGCCTAATACATTTATTAAAGCCTTACTATTTTCAATATTGTCTTTCGTCTTCTTCCTATATTCCTCCAGAGTTCTCATTCCAGGAGTTTGAAATTTACTTTCCTCTTCCCGGCGAGATAATGTTGTTGCTATGGATGAAGTTGCTGCTAAGGACGACGTAGTCTGGTCACGTGTTAAGGAATGTACACCGGAAGACAGAGAATGAGCGGACGTGGTGCGAGCTGTGCGAGGTATACTGCTGATACCACTACTACTTTCGGTTGAAGGACCCCGTAGGACTGTAGTGAGTTGTAATGGCTGTTGGGGAGTAGATGTGGACAAAGCTGGTAAACCACGACCAAAGAAAGCCGGCATTCCACTGATCTTTAACGTAAAACAAAACTTAGATCAATTTTTAAGAACATTTAATATTACAGGTAAACTACGTGAAGCGTTCCTCTTTTGACTTTATAACTCATTTGGAATTTTCCTCATTAGCTTTGCAAATTTGAAAAACTCTTTGCAAATCCTTCGAGGGAATTTGCAATGTTCCTATCGACTGTTGCAATATTCCAATGCAAACAAACTTCATTTTAAATTTTCCTAACTTCCTGTTTTAATTTCCTAACTTCCTGTTCTGTTCCAAGCGTTGTTATTGGTCGATTATTTTTGTTAGCCAATTGCAACGCCCAGAACAGAACAGGAAGTTAGGAACTTGTAACAGGAAGTTAGGAACTTCTAACAGGAACTGAGGAAAATTTAATTGGCTGTCAGCAACATTGCAAATTTCCTCAAAGGATTTGCAAGGGAGTTTTTTAAAATGCAAAAGTAATGAGGAAAATTGCAATCAATTTAGAAACTCAAAAGAGGAACGCTTCACGTAGTTTACCTGTAATGTGTTTACAAACAATGTGTTTGACACTTGATCAGATGTTATTATTTCTGGGCACTTCTTTATATTAAGAGATTGTATAGGCTACAAAATACTTTTAATGTATTTGAACAGGCCTACGTTTCCCTCTCTTTTCTTATCAGAATCAGTCAGACTCTCTCAAGAGTGGGTATTAATTATCAAATAGGGGCATGAAATTACCCTCCCGACAAACGCCAAAATTATAAACTTGCGCAAGAAAATCTATCCTGGGAAAAGCCACGCCCTTCAAAACGAAACTGGTCTGTCTCTTAACGATCATTACCTCAGGCTCAGGTAGTAGCAGAAGCAAGGCACACACTGTATGTTGCCTTCCTTTTGAAAAGAGGTTGGAATACACCCTTCCGGAAAGTGCTCAGTCTTGGCTATAGAGATTGGCATGTTGGGTTAAGAGCAGTTATCTTGTTACAGGTGACACATTTACGAAGAAGCCATACATTGAATATGAAAGATCTGTTTAAGATTATGTCATCAGTAACAGGAATTAAGAGCTCTAAAACCAATGTCTCAATCACGGAAACGAGGCTGTATAGCCACGGCTCGGTACTTTCCGGAAAGGCGTATTGACATGGTGGTGAACTTCCCATCGGGTATGGCCAAATTAGGATAATATAATGGTTTGCCGCAACCACTGGCTGTAACTAAGGCTCTGTATGTCTATTAAGTCAAACCAAGGATGGATTTACTGGGTGGGGGGGGGGGGTTGCGCACTAGTAATTTGAGTAATAACATGGTGATAAGCGAACTGTGAACAAAAGTACAATTTATATTATTATTTAATAAACCTTGCGTGCTGAATCACCGTCATCACGATCTTTATTACGAAGAATTGACAGTAAATACAATATCGACCAACGATTCTTCAGGGTGCTCTAAAATTCAAAGAAGAAACAACTGAAGTCTTTGATTAGATTTTGGCTGTTTTCTGATAAACTAGTTACATGTTTTTCTTAAAGTACGGTATAGATAGAAAATTTTCATTACAAATCGCAGATTCCTTTTCTTATAATACAACAGATCACTCAATTGCCAATCAGGACATGCAATTGTTATACTAGAATATTCTGTACAATCAAAATACACATAGCATGACCTGCGCGACAGACCATGTTCGTAGCCGTAGCCTATATATAACACCAAATTGTATGCCTGGACAGGTACCTGTTTTATATCTTCCAGAAGATGCTTGTGATGTTACTCTGAGTGTATTATCCACACCGGGCAGGCTTGAAAATATGCCAGGCCACGGTGGGAATCGAACCTACGACCTTTGGAACAACACCAGTCCAATGCTCTGCCAACTGAGCTACGCGGTCAGGTCGGTTCGAGTATGTGATATTTCGGAACTGAGTCTAGTTCCTTCGATATCAATGTAATCTAGTGATATGAGAAATCATATCAAACCAACACAAGAAAATATCTTCCAGAAGATTTTTGAAAACTTCTTCTGAACATTCAAGTGAAAACGAAAGATTTTCCGCAACTTTTTAAAATTGAAAGTGTGTCAGTGTGTATTTGAATACAATACACGTTTTCGATAATACGTCATGACTACTTTCTTCGCCTGGGAGCCTCGCTCTCATGAACCAAGACGAAAGGCCATTGGCTCACGATTCATGAGAACGAGGCTCCCAGGCCAAGAAGAGATTTGTGATGTAATTATCGAAATGGTGTATTCGAAACGACCGATTTTAGCAGTAATGTACGAGTTGTACTTGTAACATAAGTTAAAATACACTTATTACCTTTGACGATATTTTGCTGTATAATTCACTTAAAAGAGCAGCATCTGTTTCCCTATGGTCATGTACAACTGTTAACAATAAAAAAATCAATACCAAGTTTAATTTTACATCATCTATATGTACTCTGAACTGTACGTATACTGTGTTGTGAGTAAAATTCTTACTATATTTGAGCTATATTTTTTCATGCTGCTTAGAACAACAATGGTTTTCCATGCTTTGTGAAAATAATGGCATAAATATATCCTAGTTTTTATTGTGCTAGATCAAGGCACTTAAAACACCTCACACAATTCCACACACCATTATGGTCATTCCGTGTGTCGCAATGTTGACCGATTGACATTGATCAATACATATTTAATTTATTTATTTGGCCTGTGTGTGGTTAAAGCAAGTTTTTATAAAAAGAGGTTCAAGAACGTAGTATTATAGTAACTGTAATACAATAATTTGAAAACATTATTTTGCAACGAAAAATTTACAAGTGGAAGGAATATCAGCTAGTAAGCAGTACATACATTGTCTTTTCATACGCTCGATAACCTGGAATTCATCTTTTGACACTGATGGAGTAAAGCGACTAGAAAAGTAATTAACACATACTAAACATCAAAATATAGTTTATACAAATCAATAAGAACTTGAAATTAGTAAAACACATCGTCAACACTTTCAAAACTACTTTCGAAAGTTTAGTTGCTTCCGCTGATTAACAAAACATACATAGATGAATGCACTACATGCAGTTGATTTTCAATGATTTTAGACTACTCTTTCTGTTGTTTGAGAAATTGCAAAGAATTGCAAACGCACAGTCAAATATACAGAACTGGTGACTAACAAGACAATGATAATCGACAGCGACTTTCGTGATCAGCTCATTTTACTCCATCTAATGGTAGGTGATTTTATTCGTGGGTTTTCCTCTGCAGAGAAGAGCGTATGGGTTTACATGCCACTTTCAGGGCATTGCAGGGAAATATTTCATAGTGTTTTTATTAGTATTATTTTTACACACCTTCCAAGTACTCTAAGTGCATACTGAAAAAACTGTGACACTTCTAAAGACAAAATATACAAACAACTGTTATCAATGTATAGATGTGTATACCAGTATATTTAAAGCACAGCTCTATATAGGAATATGTGTGGTGTTTCATCGCAGGTGTTCTGAAAACATTTCAAAGTTGGCGTTGGAGTATAGGAATTGCAAGCCTAATCTTGCTCTCGATCTGGGCCTACTCTGCTGGCGTGACCCGCACATTTAAAATTAATTAAACAGTTACACTGAAACAGGTAAAACTAATCATATCTCACTGACTCATTCACTCACATTACTCCAAAATTATTTGGAAGAAAATTGTAAAAAAAGCAGTTTACGAGAATGATCATTGTGAATGGGTGGATAAAATTGGAAGGAAAAGAGAACTAGAATTCTACCTCTGGAGCCAACCTTGTATAACTATGAACTACTGGTATGATTTGTGGAATTATGGACAATCAAAGCAGATTATAAATATTCTTCGACTTTTGTGTGGCTCTTTGACTGTTAATAAGGACAGATTTGGGAATCCTGCAACGTTAAACGGAATTTGTTCAGCTTGTCATGGACTTTTTAATAATCCTGTTCATCATGCTATATAGTTTTGCATGCAGAAAGACTGAAGAAGTTAGAGAAAACTGGTGCTCTTGGATACAAGATCATTTCCCTATTATAACATGCATGAATTTGCATTCCTTGGACGATCAGGGTTTTATAAGAACTTTATTGAGGGACTACTCAGTTTTAAGTAGAAGTGACGATAACTTTAAGGATGACTTTAAGTTAGAATGTGCGAAGTACGTTTCGTACTGTATTCAAAACTTGGACTTTGATCCGTTCGTGATTAGATAGGTATAGCTTATTATAATTTAATCATTAATCTTATTCATCTGTACATATTACAATACCTAGTTTAATTTTTTGTAAATTATCTACTCTTTATTTTGAAGGCAACAATAAAAAATTTAAACCCACTCACTACTCTCTCATTGATGAGATCTAGCTTCAGGCATTTGGGGATGTTATTGGTGAGGGAGTTTCGGCTGCAGTATATACAGTGTGAGTAAACAGCATTCTGGAGATACGCAAATGTTGATAGCTACTGTACCTCGTCACGATTAGAAAGGCCTGCTGATACCTAGATTGCAACTAAACGCTGGACATATGGCAGTGAATCAAATTACCGAGAATGCCTTGTATTGGTTAGGTGTTGGAGAATACCGGCAATTCGTTAGGAATCGGGTAACGAAGATTAGCACTAAGTTCTATCCGAGGAAATCCCCAGACTTGGGGAGCCGAGGCGGACAGTTGACTGAACTTTGGCTGAAAAGCCCATCCTGGCTAGGGGACGAAGAGAAATGGCACGAAAGTCCGACTATACAACACTCGCAAGAAACACAAGCTGTGATGGCGTTCGTGATCTTCTTTGCACAGCACAAAGCGAGAAACCCGGTGACGAATTTGAAGTTCGTCTTGAGAAGCCCGAGCTACGACCAACGTTGAGAGACACTGCCTGGATATTGCGATTTATCCAGAACTGAAAGAAAGGCATGAAGCGATGCGATCCATTATCAACAGAGGAGATCGAGGAAGTAAACACATGGTAGATTAAACAAGTTCAAGGCGGAGAAAAGAAAAGGCCTCACTTCGATCAAACCAAAACGGCACTGAACTTGCGAGAAAATAATCAAGAAGTCATAGATCGAGTACCATGGTAGAGTTCAAGGACTGTACCCAATTTATTTTCCGCCTAATGCTTTGTTCACTAGGAAGCTGGTTGCGAAGATTCACATTAATATACACTTCATGCATGGTGGCGTACGGTTAACCATTCGAGAGAAATATTGGATTCCTAGACTCCTTAGGTGTCTTGAGACGACTTGTAAAAACAGTACGAAGTGAATGTTGAATGGGATGCAAAAGATTCAGAGCATTCAAAGACTCCAGGATTACGTACTTCCAAAGAATACAACGATAGCCGAGCATTCAAAGTCGAGGGAATTGATTTCGCATTTCCCATTCGGTACAAAAAGAAGTCTAAAGGCCGAGACACACCGGATGTGATTTAACAACGCGGCTTTCACTGACCGATAACTTTGATCCTAGTTGAATTTTTCCAAATATTTAGAAGCGCTATAACATTTTGAGTTATTTGGTCTAAATGTCTTTAACATTTTTTTCATTGGTTGTCTTATTAACTTTTAAAACTGAAAAATCTCGCCACGTTGTCAATACATGATCACATTCGCGTGCACTTTATTTTGTGCCGTGTACCTGGAGATACTTTCCAACATTGAAATCGAAACGTTCATTCCCTATTTGAAACGATTCGTACAGTAGCTCGACGTGGACGACCACATGTCATGTATTCCGATAACGGAAGAACCTTCGTAAAGGCAGCTAACTGGCTGAAGAAAGTTCGTTTTGTAGATGTGCTGGATCAACATGCCCCTGTGAGAGTAAAAAGATTAAGAAAAGGGGGCAATATTCCTTGGGTAAGCCGGGAAGTAAAGGAAAAATTATTTAAAAGAGATGCTCTTAAGCGTAAAGCAACAAAGACAAATAAAGAAGAAGACTGGAGACTATATAAGTCATCTAGAAATGTTGCCAACACTGCTTTGCGCAGTGCTAAAAGAGATTATTATGCAAACAAATTCACAAATAATAAACAGAATCCTAAATATGCTTGGAGAACAATAAACGATATATTAGGTCGAAACAGAAAACAGACTACGATTAATAAAATTAAACTCCCAGGTAAAACTGTTACATCGACCGACGAATTAGTCGACATTTTTAATGATCATTTTAGTAATATTGGCCCAAAGCTTGCTGAGTCTATTCCAAATGACAATGACGTTAGTTTTCGAGATTTTATTACTCAACAAAAATCTAAGACAAAGAACAGTTTCTCATTTCGACCAGTGAGTGTAACATTGGTTTACACTCTTCTAGTTAATTTGTCTACCACCAAAGCGACTGGAATGGATAAAATTTCAGCTAAAATTCTACAAGTAGCAGCTCCAGTTATTGCACCTTCTCTTACTGAGATTTTTAATATGTCAATTGCTCGGATCAATTTCCTTCTGATTGGAAAGCTGCAAGGGTTATTCCATTGTTTAAGAAAGGTCAGCGGTCCATGTTGGACAACTATAGACCGATATCAATCCTTCCTGTAGTAAGTAAACTTATGGAAAGAATTATGTATGATCAAATGTATGAGTATCTTAACCAGAATAATCTTTTCTCAAAACACCAATTTGGTTTCAGTCGACCTTATCATTCCACAACTACTACATTATTGGATTGTACGAACGAATGGTATACCAACATGGACCGTGGGCTGTATAACTTAGTTGTTTTTCTTGACCTAAAAAAAGCATTCGATACAGTCGACCACGAAATACTGTTAAGTAAGTTTGAAATGTATGGTTTCCAAAGGAAAGCATTAAATCTTTTACGTTGCTATTTGACGCACCGAACTCAAAGTTGTCAATTGGCCAGTATACTCTCGGTGGAGAAAGAAATCATTTGTGGCATTCCTCAGGGAAGTATACTCGGCCCTCTCTTATTTATTATGTATATAAATGATTTGCCAAGCTGCCTAGAACGCACAACTCCAAGAATGTTTGCTGATGATACTAACTTAACGGCAGTAGGCAGAACAATTAGTGAGGCGGAAGAGAGGGCGAGCGTAGACATGAGGAATGTTCAGAAATGGCTTTGTGCAAATAAACTAAGTCTAAATATAGCGAAAACCGAGTATGTTTTAATTGGAACACGACATAAAATAAGTAATATTGATACCCATCAAGGAGTTAAAATAAATAATCAATTGATTAAAAAAGTTAAAAATACCAAAGCTCTTGGAGTTGAATTAGACGAAAACTTGAGTTGGGAAAAACACATTAACCATATTAGCAGTAAAATATCATCAGGTATTGGGGCTATTAGAAAAATGAGGGAGTATGTCGAACAAGACATTTTGATAAAAGTTTATAATGCCTTAATCCAACCTTATTTTGATTATTGCTGTGAAGTATGGGATACACTTAATAAAGGCCTAAGTGAACGTCTACAGAAATTCCAAAACAGAGCGGCTAGGTTGATCATGAACTTAAAAAATGAACATGGTCAGTCTATTTTGGCACGAAAATCTCTAGGCTGGGTAACACTTGAAGAGCGTAGGGCACAAATGAAAGCCAGGCTCATGTACAAGACAGTTAATGGTTTAGCCCCCCAACGACTATGTGAAGCTTTCCAAAATCTGAATACCATTCATGACCATAATCTGAGAGGTTCTTCAACAAGGTTTTATATTCCAAGACCAAAAACGGAATCCTTAAAAAAAAGCTTCCAATATAGTGGGGCTAAACTATGGAATCAGTTACCTGAAGAGATACGCAATTCGGTATCGTATAATTCGTTCTGTAAAAAGCTATCTTCCTCGACCTTAATCTCGACTTAAAGTAGTAGTTAATTTTTTGTCTAAATAGGTATATAATTGTATTTGTTATGTATGTAATATTAGAGCTAGTATATAAATAATAATTTGTAAGTACACATCCCTTTTGGAAATCAGCTTTTGCTGAAAAGGCCAATGTGTTTAAATAAAGTTGATCTATCTATCTATCTATCTATCTACCTCTCTTGCATGAATGGGAAATTATAACCATTTATCAACATTTACAGTTCTTAGAACAGGTCACTGCAACCACGATTTTTCAATTGTTTACAGAAATATACGTTGTATACATTTGCATACAGAAATATAATCAGGCAAAAACTATTTCGTGAAGGAATGATAATGTTACAAAAGACAGGATGATGATGCAGTGTTTAATCGGAAGAAATTATAAAACGGTACTGAAATAGATGAAAAAGTTTTTACTGGTTTCAACCCAAGTGCTTGATTTCAAAATGCAAAGCCAAAGTGGCACATTTTCCTGACATATCAATTTCTCCATGCAATAATATTTGTAAAATTCATGAATAATTAATAAGGCCACAAACAAATCACGATGCGGTATTTAGTAGGCTCGGTTCCAGCCGTTCCCTCTTGAGAGCCCCCGAGAGGGAACGGCTGGAACCGAGCCTAGGTATTTAGGTCACATGTGCACACTTGTAAACCGCATTAAAGATCAGAAAGTCGTGTTAGAGGGATATTTATGAAAGTTAACAATACTAATTTAAGTTTTAATCCCCGAGCCGACAGCGCGAAGCGCCGTGCGAGGGTACTAATCCCCCCCGGCTATTTACACCCGGGGAAACGAAAGCATTAGCGGAGTCTAAAGTTCAACAATAGCGAGGTTTAGCAAAGACGACGCGACGTCAACGAGGACGTGAAAATGGCGTAAAAATGGCGTGGGCACATCCATAGATGGGCATATCACGCCATTTTTACGCCATTTTCACGTCCTCGTTGACGTCGCGTCGTCTTTGCTAAACCTCGCTAATTATCGCGGGCGTGGGTCACCAACGGTGTTCGGTGGGTGGTCATCCTCACTGATCTCAAAAATATGGTGGACTATCACGAATAGCGGACACTGATTGGTCCAATTTAAAGTTTGCATTATAACGACTGCATGACGACAGCGAAATAGCAAACATTTCTTGATTTGATGATTCGGATAAATTTCCTGCAAATATATTTCATTTTGCTCGCATTTTTGCAAGATTTTGTAAATTTCAAAAGCTCTCTGAGAAAGAAACTGCGAAAGAATCGGCTAAAAGAAGGGAGCCGACGTTAACGAAGGTAAGTTTGTTTTAAATATTGAATTTATAATGGATTTAAAACCCGACGGCCTTTGCGTATATGAAACAACTAAACAAAACAGCATATAATTTCAGTGTATCTTTAATATTGATTCGTTTCTTATGATATTGAATTTTTTAAATAAAAAAGAAAGCAAAGTTTTTTACTTATTTGCAAACTCAAAGTTTATCGATAAAGCCATTTTAAAAGACAGTTTAGTTTTATAATACTATAGTGACTTTGAAAACTTTATGCGAAGCGTTTGTGGTTGACTTTTACCTTAAATTGAGGCTTATATTACGTATAATAACATACCTAACATATATATGTTGGGAAATTAATAATTTTGTAATTAAAAGTGATATTTTTAGGCGAATTTTCATTTGTAAGAATATTCTTAAAAAATTATCGTGTTACCATGACAACTACTTTAGATACTTCATGTTCGGAAAATACAATGGTTTTGTCAGCAAGGCGAGGGTTTTTGCATGCATGTATTTTCTAGTAGCATGCTAATGAAGCGTGAGATTGTCCCCAGGGGCAGGGAATACTAATAAGTAAACAAATAAATTCATTTTACAAGTACGTTAAAATATTCGCAACTGATCTTTATGGGCATCAGCTCTTTAGTTATATCTTTTAGCCACACTTTTTATATTAATATCATTCAGGGTTGACATTTTCCTAACCGATAAATGTGATTATTTTGGGTAATATTTCGCCGAATTCGAATCTCCCTCGCTCCGGTCTTTTAATGATAAAGGCCGATTTACACTACACAACTTTTGCTTAAAACTGTCGTATGCAACCTGCTTACAACTTGAGTTGTACTGTGTAAATGAAGCACACAACTCGCCTAAGTTGTCGTATAGGCGAAAAACTAAATCGTCGTGGTTATCACTATAGTCTATACTTACAATATTTCCTATCAACCGCCCCAAAACTGCTTATTGCTTGCCCTTCGCCATCAGCAACGTTTGCAAGAGCTTTCTTTTCATTGGTTTTCGCGCAATGGTCTGTGTTATTGGATTTTGGCTGTTTTTCTCTCTGTTTCAATTCGTTGGATATAGTCTCTTTTATCACGTGAGTGTTTTTGTTGTGGTCCTTGGCTGAACTGCAATTTGGAGCATCACTCTCTTTATCGATATCGGTATTGTTTTTTATATCAATAACTATAATAATAAAATAATATTATGTAGGCCTAGTATAGTTTTTTAAACCACTTTCATTCAGAAAACAATGTTTTCTGTTATCATCGAACTAAACGAATTTAGAGCCCATCTGTGTTTTGTATTTGCACTAGCTTGTGTTCATCATATAGATATGATTTTATTATACTGCCGGGATAGTGAGATACTAAAGTACACATAATATATTTTCCACATCTTCACTATACAGTGAATTGCATTGGACCATGCAAGAGAAAATGTATTTAAAAAATTTACGATATGAAAGTATTTCTTGAGTTTCTCGAGAACGTATACAATCGTTCTAATCTTTTTCCAAGTATGAATACAGTTATAGGAAACACGCATGCTTGCGTTTTGAACATGCATGCATGAGTCGCATTAATTATCGTCTTTGTTACGATATGAAAGTATTTCTTGAGTTTCTCGAGAACGTATACAGTCGTTGTAATCTTTTTCCAAGTATGAATACAGTTATAGGAAACATGCTTGCGTTTTGAACTTGCATGAGTCGCGTTAATTATCGTCTTTGTTTATATGACTATAATTATATAATAAAAAGAATATTGCAGGGCGTCTTGAAGATCGTTGGTCCTAAAGACGATTTTAGAGGTACATAACTCCTAGCAACATTGCCATAAACAACAATGCAAACATGTCAGCCTAGAATGGAATGAGTCTGTTGACCCGTTCACCCGTTGATATATAAGTTTCTGTCTAATTATATCCTTATAATGAAACGAAATGAGGATCCATCTTTCTCAATACGAATCCTTTGAACTGATTTTATTTCAAAGAGTCTTTTCAGCCATTATGAACATTTCTAAGCATTTTACGAAACGTCCAAGGTGCTGCATGAATTTTACATAAATTAAATGAAAGCTTTCCGCCATATACTGTAGAATACTTAATACATAACCTATATACATTGTATTATTTTCAGTAATTATTAACCTTTAATTTTCATTGTTTTTGCCATTTTATGGCAAACGTTATACGAGATAAATGATAACGGAATAACTATTTTCTTACTTTCTCTTCGTGATGTGGTTTCGATGGATTTGTCTTTTTCTTCTAATGTTCTAACCAGAGACTCTCCCATATTGCTTTCCACACCGCTTTTGACTTTTGCTTCTCGCTCTTGACTTACACTATCGCATTCAGAGCCATGTGGTACATTTTCTTTTACACTGGAAATGTTTTTTCTTCTATTGTGACCAGTGGTTTCAGCTATATAAAATTAATTTTATACTTCAGCACCATGTGCGTATTCATAAATCTGCATGGTCCTTCACCATCACGTGCGTATTGTATTTTTGCCCAACTAACCAATAGCAATGTTTTAGGAAAGTTACCTGTGATGGGAGTCGGCAAGGAATCAGAGCGTTCCAATAGAACAACTTAAATTGGTATGCAACATGCTCATTTCAATGTTATTCACACTTTGAAAATGTAATATTTGGTTTCATTGTGTCATGCTAATCAGAGCGCAATCAAATTTCGCTTGACTTTCAAAGGACATAAAGCGCTAGAATTCTGTTGTTTAGTAACACATTTGTCATCCACAAGTACAATTTCTTACGCTGAATCGAACGGTGGTATTTTTGTCCTTATTGGGCGCATAAAACCAGAGATAAGGCGCGGCAAAAAGTCAATCGTGAGAGTCCGAGATTGAAATAGAAAAGAAATCTTTCCTCGAAAAAAGGAATTCGGAAAACGTGAAGGATTATTTTGAGCGGCTTGTCTTTAAAAGGCCATAAATCGCTAGAATAGAAATCAATTTTGAAATCAATTTTCCATCCATAACTTTTCACGCTGATTCGAACAATGGTATTGTTGTCCTTGTTTGGCCTATAAAACTAGAGATAAAGCCTAGCAACGGTGAGAGTACAAGATAAATTAATTTTCCTGCAAAAATGAATACATTTCGAGCACGTGCAAGGAATTTTTACTAGGTGATTAAGTCGATTAAGGGGGGAGTACACCTGAAAAATAGGGCGATCTAAAATGTTTTATATTTGCACAAGGTTACATCCAAACCCCCACAAACTATATATTAGTAGAAAGCTTAGAACCTGGAGATTCAGAAAAAAAATATTTCAAACAGTGAAAAGCTGTATTAAGGTGGCTCTGCACCGTTCATCAAATTTTCGGTTTAGCTTTATTCAAGAAAAGATTGCACTAGCTGTGTATTATGAAATTTGATTATTTATACATTTTTTTAAATACTTACATAGGGATTATTGTTTTAAGCATAGAGAATTTTGATTGACAAAAAAGAAAAAAAGTTATGGGTTTGGGAAGTTAGGCGTCAAATTTTTAAAAGGTAAAAATTGTAGTAACTTTTGATATTTTTACTCAATCAAAAATCTCTATGCTTAAAACACAAAGCTAAGTGAGAGGAGCATTCTCTGAAAATTTCAGTGCAATCCAATAAATTGTTATCGAGATATCTTTTCTCAAAGTCTAAAATATCCGAAAATGAGAAAAATGAGTTTAAAGTCTCTTGTATCGAAAACACTTGATTTTTCATACATTTTGAAAATCTTAAGCCTGGATAATTTAAATCCTACCATTTACTTGGTGTTTTAAAAAGTTTTGTTACAGTTTAAAATCCTCTAGCCTCTTTATGTCACTCCTTCAGCTTCCCAAATAGCTTCTTCCCGTTGCGTTCAAATCAGTTTCTCTCCTTGGCGTCGTTTCTTCTCTTTTTCAGTTGCCTGTAAAATCAGATTTCTTCATTCGCTGCACATCGATCTTGCATCACAAGCTTGTTTTGTTTTACCCCCAGAGTAAATGGACAGCTGTTTCATAACACCAAGTCGACTCTTTGCTCCAATATGGAAGTGGGGGAATAGCGGCAGCTACAGGACATCGCACTGCTTTGCGGCCATGTTGTTTATGCTTTGGATACTTAGCCCAAGCTAGAGCATTCAAACTGCCATTTTGTTTTTCAGTTGTGCCAAGAACACACCTTTGAAGCAACTGTGTTTGACTAAGAGAAATGACCAACACGTCCACTTTCATCTTCTTCCAAAGTTAAATTTCCTAAAGAAATGACCATTAACATTTTTAAAACAATTGACACATATATGTACTGTATATTGCAACTGTTTACATGTTACACAACAAATATATACAACTTTTGTTGCAGAATAGATATAAAAGGAGTTTGCAGGAGTACAATTTAAACCATATGTTATATTAAACCAGTTTTGAAGGATAAGATATAAAACACAAAGGGCAAATTCTTACCTTCCTCACACATGTGTTGAATATTTGAGACAGCATAATTGGATTGGCAGCCAAACTGCTCAGCCTGTATTCGTGGATATTTTCTTCGGTGTAATTATCACTATTGTCATTTCTGATTTCACATCGTAATTTTCTTGAAGTTCCAATAACATTACTTTGGTTTGAGCCATCAACATTGTCTGTTTGGCGATTCACACGTGGGATCATCATTACTCATATTTTGATCTCGTGTTGAGTCACGATCTTGGTGTCTTTGCTTACCAGAAAACCTCTTTCCCTTCCTTTTTCGCTTGTATTAAGAAGATCTACTCTTCGTACCGGTCATTGTTATAATTTGAAGAAAAGAGACACATTTCTTGGCCTTCAATTCGCATTGTTTTTTGCTTCAACATGCATCGACGTACACAATTCATTGCATCAACAAATATCAGACTCAAATTCAAACAGGAGCCCGCGATGTAATAGCAATGTAGGGACGTCATGTACCACAATATATAGTGTACGTGCTATACACATGCTAATTTGGGCAGTTTCAGCCGAACAATGGGCAAAAAACCGTCAAAAAACAAAAAAATGCTGTTACCGTTGCCATAGTAACGGAATCAGCATATTCAAACAATAATAATAAAAGCCTTTAAAATACATGAAGATGTTGGAATTTCAAAAAACTCTTTTTCCATATGTTAGTTAGGTACCTGAAGTACCTGAAAATGCAAAAAAAAATTTTTTCATTTTTTTGCAAAATTTCAGGTGTACTCCCCCCTTAAGGAAACGTATTGATGCGAACACACTAACAAACGGACAAACAAACCGACAAACGGACAAACTCACAGCCAGAATATAATGCGGTGCCAAAAATGGCACGGGCACCGCAAGCCGCAATAAGGATAAAAAATAGAGAAGGCAGGGTACTTCCGCTCCAATTATACCAAATTAGTCGCATCGACTTCACAAATCGTTCTCGCCTCGCTAAATAACGCATCGAATTGCAAAACAAACAACAGATTCGTAAAGCCCAGTAAATTTCCTAAAACATACATCGTCTTTAGCAATCACAAGCCTTTTCTAGTCCGTAAAAATCCATAAAATGTTCGATCTTTTGCTGCGCAACTCTTCATACCCCGAATTATTCCGTTAAAAGTTCGCAAATTTGAATTACACACTCTGCTGTCATTGGTTGATATAAATCGTGTGCACGCGACAGCAACAATGCGATTCTATTAACCCAAATGACAGCAGGGCCTTTTTTAACAGCAGTCCCCCCTTGTGCCCCCTCACGAAATCACATTTCCCCAGGAAAAGTCCCGTTTTCCTAAATTTATACAAACAAACCAGCGAAGAATAACAAATCGATAAACGGAAAGTAAGTTTTGGCTTTATTCTTTGTCCTTGTTTAACAAAATCGATTTAACGGAGCTGTGTCAGCGCGTGCATGTGCATCCTACGTGTTTCTAACACTAAGTATAAATTATTGTTAATATTTTTTACATTTTTTTTTCCGTTTTTTCCCTCTTTTATTTCAAATACAAATATAGTTAGCGTACATTTTAGAACAAATTAGTTTAGATGCTCAGGATGCAGGAAATGGCATTTCTGGGCTTCAAATTTCAAAAATGTTCTGTGGGAGTATGCCCTCAGACCCCCCTATCCATGCGTAGTATGTTGGCCACACGCGTCAACGCATGACCCACGGCCATTGCCATCCCCTTTAATGAGTAATGGATAAATTAGTGTTAATATTTTTAAAATTTTTTCTGCATTTTTCCCTTCTATTATTTCAAATACATGTATAGTTAGCATAAATTTTAGAGCAAATTTAGATGCTCAGAATGCAGGAAATGGCATTTCCCGGCTTCAAATTTCAAAAATTTTCTGGGGGAGCATGTCCCCAGACCCCCCTATTCATGCGTAGTATGTCGGCCACACACGTAGCCTTCGGTCATTGCTATCCCCCTCTAATATATTATCTCACAGAAAGGTCCCTTTTCAAAAAATTCCCCCCACGGGGAAATCCTTAAAAATGGCCCTGAATGACAGTAGAGTGTGTAATTCAAATTTGCGAACTTTTAACGGAGTAAGTCGGGGTATGAGGAGTCGCGCAGCAAAAGATCGAACATTTTATGGATTTTTACGGACTAAAAAAGGTTTGTGATTGCTAATTAAAGACGATGTATTACGGATCTCACCGAACTGTGGCACTGCAGCAAAAATTCATGTCGCCGTCACACCCACAAACGTCTGTGGCCACTCCTACATATTTTTGCACGTTTGCAATTCTAATTTTAAACAGCAAATCCAGTTCCTGGTAACAATTGCTATAAACCGTTGGCGGTTTTAAACTAGAATTGTAAACATTTCAAAATTATGTGGGTGTGGTTATAGACATTTGTGGGAGTGGTAGTGATACAAATTTTTGATACGACACCACAGTTGGGTGAGATCCGTAATATGTTATAGGAAATTTACTGGGATTTACGAATCTGTTGTTTGTTTTGCAATTCGATGCGTTATTTAGCAGGCGAAAACGATTTGTGAATTCGATGCGGCTAATTCGGGATAATTGGAGTGGAAGTACCCTGCCTTTTCTATTTTTAAGCATGAGCTCTACCTTTGAATTTACTATATGAGTAAATTCTTAAACACGTCCGAATTTATCATTATGATAAATTCGCGGCACATTTTGAATTTATCACAATGATAAATTCGCGGCACCTAAGGTTAGCCCGGTGGTCTTGGAAAATCATTTGGAGTATTACACTATATTTGGGTTTCAAGTTGTAAAGGATGAGTTGCTGACACGGAATCAGTTAATAAAACATATGTTGTTGCCATGGTAACCATGCAACGCCATTTTATTGCGCAATAATCATGTAATTCAGTCTCTACTGCAATGTGATTAATTAAACAGATTATGATGATATATGATAATATTAGGTTACATTAAAAGTAAAGTTGAGAGAGATTTAATTTTTGGATGCCCAATGAATGGATCTATGCTCTGAACCTAAAAAAAGTTATCATCTAAGGAAATATGCCAATTTTTTTAAATATTTAATGAAAATAGTCTAAAATCAGTATACGTGAAGGTAAACAATAGGGCTTTACATAGTGAATTTTTTTTAGGTATGAGATTTTTTAGGTTCACAACATGGCTGCATTAGTAATCATATGCATTAGTAATGATATATTACTGCAAGTTTGAGACTGATTGGATATATTAACGTCGGGAGAGTTTTTGGCATCTCGCGAAAGGTCAATTTGAGAAAATTAACCTTAAAGTTTTTTTAAAAATTATTCGTCAATAACCACAGTACACTGCCAATGAAAAAATGGAGTAGGACCTCTTGAGAAGAGTAGAGTAGAGCCAGCAACATATGGTTCACATAATTTCTCCTTGTTCTTGTCTCCTAACTTATTATTTTGACCTCTAAGCGGTTTTCGACGCATTCTAGTGGTTTCTATTTCCTAATAGTTTGCTTCGTTTTGCTATCGCTGGCAATCTGCCAGAGATACACCGATGTTTCTCATTTCATTTCCAAAGTTCATTTTCTGTTGTATTCTTTCCCTCGTGCTTCTTGCATTTATTACAAACTTTGCAAAGGGTTCAATGTAAAGAACTTTGCCTGTTTCCATGGAAATAACAAACCATGCCGCGACCTCCTTCGTCACATATCATCGCAAGAAACAGATGTTTCAGAATTCTATCTTCATCAACTTCTGCACTGTTCAAATTGTGGATTTCTTGGACTGCATCATTCATGGTTTCTTCTGCAACATATTTTACAGCATGTAATATAGCTTTGTTGTAGTCAAAAGCTTTAGGGTTAACTGGCGGTGGCATGTTCATGGTAAAACCTCTCCATTGCTGATGACCCACAACCAATCAACTTTCATATAGGTCATTCTTCTGTTGATTTCAAAACAATGACCAAGCTTTTCAGAGATATAAAAAACTTCATTAGGATGTTAGGGTTTGCAATCCAAGTGAGAATATATACATTTTAAGACCTAACCAGGAACGACTGCGAAAAATGCAGCACAAGGTCCTCTGGCAGGAATTGAACCTACGGCCCTGCGATTCCGTAGGGCCGTAGGTTCAATTCCTACCAGAGGACCTTGTGCTGCATTTTTCGCAGTCGTTCCTGGTTAGGTCTTAAAATGTATATATTCTCACTTGGATTGCAAACCCTAACATCCTAATGTTGATTCCACCAAGTGAAGTGCAGAATCTAAGTTATAAAAAACTTCACAACATCCACACGAGCTACCCCAAACTGAAAAACATGATGCACATCCCATACACTGAGGATCATCTTCAATGAGCATCAACTGACATTCATGGCATTCCTTGCAGGGTAATGGTTTAAATATAGTTCCCCAAATCTCAAGATTTATAAATCGGTAGCCACTTACTTCACTTTTATTTAACTCAGGCATCTCTTTGTTACCCAAATTAATTTTCCGTGCTGATGCTGACACTGAAGTTTCACATGTACTTTCGGCAGTCGACTGATCTTCAACGCTTGATGTATCAATGATGTTGTTGTCGCTCATTCGGGTATGCTTTTGTTTTGAATACTGATTTCCACAAAACCTTCGCTTTTCGAGTAACCAGTATACGATATTTAGGCATTTTAGATCGAGGCTTTCGCAATTTAAACAATTATATTTGATTAGAACTTTCACACAAAATTCAAGATGGAAGCCGAAAGGAAGATCACTATCCCGGAAGAGATTATTTCGCTGGCCTTAGAGTGACAAAACGTAACAAAGCAACGGTTTTACTAACACCAGGGCGTTTATAAGATAGGGCGGCGAAACGAGCATAGCAGCCCTGATATATCTGTGATGCAAGGGACCCCCCAAATATTCGAACACATGCGAGTAAAAATGGCGGAAGCTCAAGCTGAAATGGAAGAGGAAGGTTTTGATTTAATTCTAAGTTTAGACGACACCGATGTCGAAAAGGATGATAAAACATCTCCTGTTATCCGACAGTCGACTGATGCTTTCACTACCAATGAAGTGATCGCAGTTCTCGAGAGGATTTCTTCCAGCACGATAAAATCTGAAGCTGAAATAACCACAAAAATATTGCGAAACACGCGCGGGAAAAAAGATTTTGCCACCTTGGATTGCTTTGTGTCTGTATTTGTCGAGGCTTTTAATAAGTGCAATGGTTCGGTGAAGAAGTTTAAAAGCGATAGCGTACGGGCTATTAGGTTGGAGAAAAAGTTTGCCACTCTGAGAAATGACATGGAGTCCAATCTATTTGATGCTTGGAAACGGCTTGCAGGAGATGCCCATAGTCTTGAGACCTCTGTTGTGGTTTATCAGCATGTTCTTCAGCATTTCTGGAGCTGTGTGACATTACAGGGGAAGTCAAGTCAATCTGTTGAGGACGAATACCGTAGTGTTGACGACGTTAGTGCTGATTTGGACAAGGATGAAGCTGAGCGAGAAGCCATCCGTCGACATGCTGGCTGGGCTGTGAAGCGTGCAAGAGATCTGATCAATTCTGGTGCAACTATTGTTTCGATCAAGAAATCAAAAGATGAGAACTCTCCAGTTACAGAAGTTACTAAGACTTGTTTGCTTTCGTTTTTCGACAAATTTGGAGTCGATCTGCAGCAAAATACTTGAAAATATTTATCCCCGTGGATATTCGTCCGACACCGGATCTTCCTGCTTCACGGCTATTCATCCGACAACGCTTTAAAAGCTAACACTAAACCACTAAAAGGGTTGCGTTGTTTCTTAAGAACGAAGCAACAACATACTCGATACGCTATACATTTCGTACGCGGTGCGTAAGCGAAAATCACGAAGAAAAAAAAAAGTATAAAAAAAAATAATAAAATAGTGGCGCGAGCAGGAATCGATCCCACAACTTGGCGCACACAATACGGGTGCCTAAACCACTACACTACGAAGGATTCGCTTGAAATTCAAATAAATTTACGCTGTTTTATTTTTAACGACTTTAACGATATGGAAATGTCGGACGAATATCCACTTCCAATATTTATTCATAGTCAATGATGCTATTTTGGAATTTTTTATTGTTTTGCACAAAGAGGTTGAAGATTTTATTATTAGGACTGGCATAGATAAAGATACTGTGGTCTTGTGCTTGCAATATTTGTCATGCAATGAACATATTCGGGCAGAATGGAAAAAGGTTGTAGGTGAAAGATCTGGTGAAGAGGAAGCTGCAAGCATTATTATTCTGCAACGGATTGTTTCTATGTTTTTAAAGTCCAAGCAACAGATCATAAGGGAGCAGCTACATCTAAAACCCCAGAAAGAGAGCAAAAGTTTGAGGGCAAGCTTATTTCATGGCAAAAAAGGTGACTAGCTTTTATGCGATGTATGGTCAAACTATGTAATGGTAAATCGAGAGCAGTAGGTGTCTAACTTCAAATTACCTACATTAAACAGAGCGAATAATGAATTTGTTTCTTTGTCTAAAAGTACTAATTAACACTACACACATACACTATATAGGATAAGACAATCTTGTGGTAAAATCGTGAGCAAGTGTTGGTTGAGATCAAAAGTATAAATCGCTGTGTATAGTGAGTTATCCAACAACCTAAAGATATAGAAAAAACGTTGCGAGCAAATTTCCTTTATCAAGAAGTCAGTTGGTTAGGGACCGATCGTTTATTACGTCTCAGGGTGGGGCGGTGGTTTTTGAGGGGGGGTTAATTTTTTAAATATGGTTATTTTGGGGGGGTAGTTTTTTGTTTCCCGAAAGGAAAAGAGGGGGGGTTAAATTTTGAAATTGCAAACGATTCTTACATATTAAAATGACTTTATTTGGTTTATGAGATGAAATTCAAAATATATCTACCATTTTGAATTTGAAAAAAAGAAAAACAAATACAAACTAATCAAGCAAGATTGCGCCATTGTGTGCAATTTTTGCATAGAGAAGACTGGAATCTAGTTCTTAGCATTCAACTCTTTATAGTTGAAAGTTTAGTTCAATGGTTTTTAGGGCCTGTTCATATGATCCCGCTTACCGGGACGTCTCGCTTACCGAGACGAATATTTCCGTGCGTTCATATGGAATATTTCGTCCCGCTTGCCGAGATGAAATTACATTGTAGTTCTATAATTAATAGCGTATGCAAAACTTCTACATTTCAGTCAAGCAACACAAATACTTAGCGATTTTAGTGTTTTTCTTCGTTTATTTACAAGAAAAAGTATTTCTTCAGATGCTTATTTAATACTTGTTTACAAAACAAACATAAAACCAAGTAAAAAGTGTTAAATTAAACCGGCAAGACTTGTTTGACTTCATCCAGGTAAGCGGGCTGGCGTGTTCATATGGAAAAATTTTCATCCCGCCTACCTATGATCTCGGCAAATTCAAACGAGATCTCGGCAAGCGGGCCAGGTCGCTTTCTCATATGAACACAATGCAAAATTTTATAGGAAAATAGATAGGCGGCGAGATCATCGGTAAGCGAGACGTCCTGGTAAGCGGGATCATATGAACAGGCCCTTAGTGACTCCGCTGAACGGAATGATTGCAGTCAATGGTTTACACCTAAAAAAAAACATGGCGGAAAATGTTTCAAAAAAGGTATTTTTTATCTACATTTTATAATAATATATAAATATTATTGCATTTTTACTTTTACATGTTTATATCATTCATTAATATGATATTTTTGTATAACGTTTTCCTGTTTTGTATTGAATGCCAAAATACGCAATCTTGCTTTTATATATGACTCGATATTATATTGAATTAGCAATTTCGCGAGGCCTTATAATTTGAATATTTGATGCACTGAGGTTTGATGCCTAGAAATGCCTAGTGCAATTGGGGGGGGGGTATATTTTTAAATTTTAATCTATATAGTTGAACAGGGGGGTCATTTTTTCATTTCCAAAAAATATGGGGGGTGCATATTTTATTGATAATGTTTTAAAAAAAAACACCGCCCCCCCCTGAGACGTAATAAACGATCGGTCCCTTAGTGTATAACATTATTTGGTAAGTCAGTGCTATTCATTCTGTACAGTGTATAATTTTAATAACAATTTATTATTTGCCCTGAAACTTGTGGAAACCTTGGTGAAATTGTGCTAACTTCTCACAGCAACCAAGTTGTATGAGGCTCAAGGTAGACGACTAACCTTTAGAGCCCTAAACACAGCTTGTGCAGTTATAATTTCTTAGGGAATGTAACTTTAACAAATAGCAATAGTTTCGCCATGGTTTAAACAAGTTTTTTCATGAATTAGATCTCATATTTCAATGTACCATTCAACTGTTTTAAATATGCTATTGTCATTTCTTCTTCGTGGAAGTTTGCAGTCTCCCTCAAAGTATGACAATGTTTCCTCTAGTTCATATACGTTGGTCTGCTTCTTTCCCAATGCTTTTGCTGTTTGAAAACAACTGCACCCATTAATGTTGTATGCATACACATAGGCAGTCATATTTTGTGTTCCACCACACATTTGTCTCTGACATGAGAAAAAGGACTCCACAAAGTCTTGATTAAGTTTTCCAGGTATTAGAAATAGTTCACCATATTCTTCTTGAAATTTGTCACTTTCCATGAACTTTAGGAGTCCTTTTAAGGCATCTATGGTACCCTTAAAAAACAAATATAATTTATAACTCATTACTTTCCATAATTAACAAAATAAATAAATCTTGGCAGTTCTGAATCTACATTAATTATATGTAACAGGGTTCGAATTAATTCTGAAAAAACGGTTCATGAATTAATTTTTTTATTTTAACAAAATTTTAAGGAATTTTCAAGGAATATTCTGTAATTGGAAGTTAAAAAGTGGAAGCACTGTAATTTTTAAATATATAATATACATCACAAACTCGCAAAGAAATAGAATTTTGGGTGGAATTATAATTTAACAACAATATCTTCAGAATGTATGATTCTCCATCACATTTACAAAGAACTGAATTTATTATTGTATATTTTTACCAATTTGAGAGACTTTTGATTCGTGATTTTGATCAATTTCTATGAAATTCAGAAATTGGGTTCATGAAAAATGAAAATTGATTAGTGATTCACGAACCGTTATTTCGAACCATGTGTAAGTAAAACTGGGTCCTCCCATTAAATCAAACATTGTTTGCCATGATGTAAAATGTTTTGCTTGTTCAGCTTTCTTCTCTGAAATGGTAACCAAGCTTTTCTGCCAGTCCATAAAGTATTTGACAACATCATCTAGAATGTTCATTTCATTACAGTTTGATTCTCTTAATAACTTTGAAGAATTTAAAACATTCTAAAATTTACTGCAAACAGAAATGTATTCTTGTGTTGCAGCAGTTCTTTCGTTGTCAGATGTTTTCATTTCATCAGCCACTTTGGAAGACAGTGTTTGCACTGCTAATTTCACTCTCATCTTGCTTAAATTGTCCAGGTTGATGTGTGAACAACGGAGATCAGTTACATAAATGCTTCTTAACCTTTCCCGATTGTAAACATCGTTGACATACTCCCACAAAATATTTTTGTCACCATTTGTCATTTTCCTTGTAAACCTTTTGTTTTTTTCTTTGAAGCCACTGTTAAAAATGTTGTTTCGTAATTTCTTCATTAAGTGAGGTGGGTCGGACATAAAAAAGATAGGTTTATTTGTAAATGGATTAGAGCCTTCTGAGTGGAATTGATTATTGGTGTTCATTGTGTAGAAAGTCCTGTTAGTTGATGCTCCATCACAACATACCAGGATTATTTCAAATCCATAGCTATGTAATAGGCTAACACCAAGCCAAAACATTCTATTGATCTGAACAGCTGTTGCACTTTAGTTAGGAAATAGGCGCATGGAAAATCAAACTTAAAAAATATACTTCGGTAGAAAAATTGAAGGACATGTGTTGCCAGACTATCTATTGGCTTTGTCTGTTGGTCTTTCTCTTCAATTATGTCTATAAAACCAATTAGTTCCCAAGAACTACTATCAAATACAAGTCCTTCCTTGATCTTAACTTCGTCAAAAAATAGTCCTCCTAATTTTCCACGCTTTGGTGCTTTCATCTTCTCAAATTTGTTTTTCATATTTTGTAATGTTCCGGAGTGCCATCCAGATTGAGGAGAATTGTAGTTCTTGTAATCTGAGAGGGTCCTTCCACTTGGTAATCGAAGGGCTCCAGATGAACGCATTCCTTCATATGCTGAATGTCATTTAGAATACATTTTCAAACACCATTGGATTATCAAGGGATGCCATCTCATTTGTTTTGAGGGGGTATTTAAAGCTGTTGCTTGATCTTTTAATAATACTTCCATCAATTCATCTTTGGCATAACCTGTGTGTTCTCTTAAATGATTCTGGAGCAACTTAAGTTTTGCATAGTGTTTGTCACATGTTTCCCATGCACAATGGTACCTTCGATGTATTGGTGCAATTGAGGCTGTGTCGATTTTTTCAATATGCTGTTTGGCATGCTCATATAGCAGTTCCACATTTTCAAATTGCTTACCACATTCTTGCCATCTGCATACAGGATTGTGTAGAACTTGTTTTTTGTCTAAAATTCCTTCATACATGTTTTTGAAAATAGTTTGCAAATCATTGTCAGTTTTTCTGCCCACTGTGGTCATCGTATCTCTGTATTCATCTAATCTTTGACATTTTTGTTTCCAGGATTTCATTTCTTTTACTGAATTTCGTGCAACTTGTAGAAGTTCGTCTTTTGACATGTAGTCATATCTCACTGTCTTTTGGTCTGCATTGGGTTGTTTATTTTTTAATCTTGACAGCTTTGTTCTTAGGTAATGATCTGTACTTTCACATGCTTTGCAAGTGTCTGGTGTTTCTATTGAATCGTCTTGCCAAAGAAGTAATATGCATTTTGAAGATCTTGCTATTTTTTCTTTATTTTTAGACATCAAGATGTCCACAAATGCTGCTGGAGTTCCATCCTTTGTCTTGAACAGTTGTTGTGATTCTGACTCGTGTGTCTCATAAAGAGGCTTGTACTTGTCGAATGGACAACCCTGGCATAGTTTCATGTTCCCAATTGTGTCAAGAAGATGTTTCAGCTCGTTGCACTTTCTTACTGTATCTGGGATGTCTGTCCAGCCTAAATCAACACTCCGATGCTTCCCTTCCAAGAATATGGACCAAGTGCCTGCTGCTGTGAGTGATATCTCCTTTTCTGCATAACCAAGACATTTGCCAAACTGGTAGAAATGAATGGTGTTTTTATCACTGTTAAACTGCTTGGACCACTTACTATTTAATTCGAGCATAATGGTCTTTTCAAACATTTGGTTAACATAGTTTATGTCATATTCTTTGTCTAGGCAGCATTCTGCTTTGTTATCTAGAGGGGTTGATGTGCCCTGTTGTATGCAATGAGACTTCAATTGATGTAGCAATGAATTCATTGTTGTCTCATCCAGTTGTTCCCCTTGTAAGACTGGAGTGAGTAGGTGATTGGACGTACCTTTTGTTTTTCCAAAACCCTTCACTTTGTTTGTGTAAACTCGATGAAAATAATTTCGAATGCTGTGACTACTGTATTTCACACCAGTAATTTGGTAAATTGGAAACACAAGGGTCATCATAGAATAGAGTAGTAGCTCCTCTTCTCGCAATGGAGAGTTGTTAACAAACTGTACAGGGGTGGTTGGAATGAGATTATCATTAGAGTTATCTGACACTGAAGGGGGAAATGGTGCTGTAAATCGATTGTTTTGTGTGCATGTGTCACTTAAGTTAGCAGGTGTAGAACAAGATGGAGTTGAATTATTAACAATTGGGTCCAAAGCAATTCTTGGTGGCCTAGGTGGTGTGCTAAATTCTGCTTTTCTCTTGTGTGTATTATTGCATCCTCTCACTGGTGAAGCCGTTCTTTTCAAATTATTTGACATAGTTCTAAGAGTAGACAATTGTAATATAAAGTTATAAACTACCAATTAGTTGTATATAGTAGATATATACAAAATTTGCTAGACCAAATTTTATATCTATTTAAATGTACACTTTTAGATATTTGATATTGAACCAATTATCAAAGTCGTTTTGGCTTGTTTTTCTCAGTGTCATTTTAGTTATATTATCTGTGTTGTATAGTTAATTTAAAATAACAAAGTGTTTGTTTACCTTTTTAAATTTATTTCGCAATAAATGAATAAATTTCGCAATTTTCATCGTCGCCGTCGGCATTTAATTTTCCCGCTCTTTTGCAATAAGTCTGTGTCTGTGGTCTGTGTCCAAGACGACTTGCCTCATGCCCCCTTCCGGTTCGCGCGGCATAATTCGAAATGTCTGTCGAAAACAGGTGGGCAATTTGTCGACGCTGACCAAATATATCGGCTCATTTCTTCTTGAGTTGCCTTTTTCGCGTAGAAGAACAAATATACAGACTTTCGGAGAATATTTTAGCTGTTTACTATCAAATATGTTTGTGAAACAGTTGATACTCTCACTGAGAAAGGCCAACGGTTTCTGAAAAGCTAAAGAACGTCGAAATCAGCGTTGGAATAGACTATATTTTCACCGGGGAAACATGAACTAAATGGATATTTACATCAACACTAAATTTCGCTCGTGCCTACAGAGCTAGTTGGAATAAAACAGATGTTAAGAAGTAAGTGAAAATGTGAATTTTGTGAATTATACTTTCATTAAAATGTTTCAGAAGGGCTGCTAATGTCAAACTACACGTGTGACAGAGCTGTCGGTATACCCATATTTCAATGTTTATGTTGAAATGGCCCATCTTCTTTGAGGTATAGCTTAAAAATTAGGGTATGCTCATCACTTGAAACTAGCTTTAAATCAAAGTTTTATCTATAGCCTTTCTATTAGAATTGAAATCATTCATGGGAAAAATGTGCCAGAGGGTTGAAATTGCCCTTGTAAATGTACACTATTTTTGATATGCTTGAGTTAGTATTTTGAAAAGGTGTTTTGGAAAGATAATATGTCTTGAACAATACTGGTTGACCCTTAAATTATAACTAGTGATATGTAAATCACAGAAAATTGAAAAAAGTCTGGTCCATACACAATATTTTGGATTCTATGAAGTCCCGAATGTGGCTTATTTCAATGTTTAATCTGTTTACCTGGAAAAACATAGAAAATTGAATAAGTCAAGAATTTGACTATGCTCATCACCCAAAACCAGGTTTTTCTAATTGCTTTTTCACCTGGGTTTGTGGCAATGCCAGTTATTCGACCACGAAAAATGCGCGCGGCACTTTTTTTGGACACTGAAGATGGTAACATTTGATGTTGTCATATATTGCCATCCTCTTATCGTAGCATAACTTAACTTATTTTAGTGAATTTGTTAAAGAGTTGTGTTCACTATATGCTTGTAGTATCTAAGATTTTTTCATAGCATTATATGATAAATTTAAGTTCTGTTTTCTTTTATTTTTAGGTGATAGTATCTGTTCATTCCAGTGTTGGTATCAAATTTTGGACAAGTTTCAATTATTATTTCACATTCCTTTATTCAAATATCCAAATAAATGGAATATGACATCAAGCTGGAGGACTAGATCCTGTTTTCAAACTTGTTTTTTGTAAAAATAGAAAATAACAACTTATTCTGTGTTGTTCTAATAAAACCATTGTTTTTGATATGCATATATTTTAATTTTATTCTTTGTTAAAATGTGTACCTGGAATACTGAAATCTTTCAGATCAGCTAACAATACCTTTATAACTTATATAGCCAAGTGTTCTATCTATTTTTGTTCAGATTAAACAAATAATGGGTAAAATATTAGATAAAATTTTTTCAAAAACTATGAGCTTGCCTGTTTTCAAAGCATAAAAAGCAATAAAATAAAGCAAAAGTACTTATTTTTTTATTTAAAACCTTTGGAATGCACAGCTTAATGTTTTCCACGAAATATTACAAAGTTTCCGTTCATTAAAATGTTGTTTTATCAGCTTTAAAACCAGATAAATCCTCGAAACACTCCTGATATATGTCGCCATATTGATTTTCT